ATCAATGGCCAGAGATTCTAGAGATTTACCAAGCAATACTTACATAAGACTTGGTGCAGAGTTTGGACGCCGAAAGCTCCCACATGAAGTCGGTGGCGCGGCCTGGAAGTGGTGTTTGAATGGCCTTGATCATTGGGAATGGTTGCGGAGTGAGAGGTCAGGGATGGTGCTATGGGCTTAATATCAATATCAAGAGGTGAGGCAGGAGACAGAACTGAAGAAGATAGTTCATATTTGATCGGGTCTCGTGTACTGCTAGAAGCTCACTAGCCGTTGGCACTTCCTGGTTGCCCCCACCACGGAAGCTATCTCTTTGTACAGAGAAAAAGGTTTGTGTGATCACATAGCCCGTGCGGCATCTGCTTGGAGCTTGTCATACACCTTTGTCTGGTTTATTGGTTTGAGGTTTGGTTGCTGTAATGCCAGATAGAGAGGGCCAATGTCGCTGGCGCCGGAATACGGTTGGGAGGTGTGGTGTGTCATTTTTAGGGCTGTTTTTACTACTCACCCCTCCCCTATGCAAAGGGAAGGCAGAATCAGCGTGACACTACTGATCATCCAAAGAAAACAACCTACTGCTGTCACACTTCAACCAGCCATTCGTACGCCTTCGCACTCAAACCCCCATTCTGGTGTAGTCAGTTACATTACGACGGTAACTGTTTTACGTCTCACCACTATCCAGCGATCTTCTCTGGTATGATACGGCCTTGTAGGGACAGGAGTTCCAGTGGAATGGCTCGTCGGATCAGTGTGATATGCGAAGCGGACCATCACGTCAAGGTTGCAGAAACCAGTTGGGATTTATGTTTACATTTGTCGTCATTTTAGGAGAAAGTATACGTAAAAGTTAATCAGTAATTTGAGCTGGCGTATCGAATGAAGAATAGGGTACATCAGTTAAGACATCCACATACTTATCATGCCATCCAGAACACTCTCATCATGCCAACTTCAAGAGATGGATAGGTTTCCGCAAAAAGGTAGATGGCACCCTTTGTGTGAGAACCATATGGGAACTTTTCTTCCAAGTAAACCCTGAAATATAAGACTGTGTCCCCATGTGATTTTTCGATTTATTTAACGTGCGTAGAAATAAGCTATTTTTGTCTGTGATGATTAGTTTTTCAATTTGGATTTCACTTCCATGGAAATAAACGATGACCCCTCAGCTGTTATCTCCTAGTTCCGGTCTCTGCGCAAGATCAGTGCTCAAAGATTGTTCCTGGAAAACTCTTGATAAAAACTCATCGCCTATTTTCAAACGCATTCGTAATCTATTCTACTGCAGTATTTCACAAAATGTGCCACCATTGCATCTTTCAGCCAGTCAAATCGTGCTGCTGAGGCTAGATTTGTAGTAACTTGGACCTGCTGACATGAAATTCAGGCGATTCTGTTTGGAATATATTTACGATACACACTGATCTTCTGATTACACTTTTATATTAGTGGGACTTTTTGTTGCCGTCTTAGTTACTATGCATAGTTACAGATATGATGGACCGAATTTTGTTGTTGATTGTTTCTGGGTTCACTACATTAGGCTTGAGATCGAGTATATGAGGCCTAAGCCTATTAGTCCCTGTCGCATGACCCTTAGATCTCCAATCTATATCAATGAGCTATATGAAGGTGTTGTTACACAGCATGATAGTAGGGGATGAAAAGGGATAAGTGTAAAAACGAGGATACATCCAGTTACTTAGATCTAATGGAATCGCCCTTCTTAAGACCAATAGAAACCCAGAGCAAAATATTAGTTAGGAGGCAGGTAATTTGAAATATTACTGGAAACATGTATGATATGAAGCAATCTAAATCAGAATCAACATTCCAAGTCATCAGCCATCAAGGCAGAAGTTTTTAACTTCGACCTTGGTTTCATGTTACTACGTGGGCAGGAAAAACTTTATTAGACAATTTTAACTTACAGCTGATAAGCCAGAATAAGCATCCAACTTCCAACTTAGTAGTTTCACATGTTCATGAAAACTCTTTAAAAATGATGCATTTTGTCAAATAAAGCGTCTTACTTACAGTCACAGGTTGGTTTCTTTCTTCTGATTTGTACCACTCAGTGACGTTTAAGGTTCGAAGGGAGAACAGACGCTACTCTTATCCTATCCAAGTGTTCAACCATACTGTTATCGAATTCGGCGGTTTGAGGGGATTAAAAATTTTAAAGTTGGGATTCATCACAGACTGACATCAGTTGGAGGAAAATTGGAAACCGGGGAGCGCTGGACAAGTGTTCTGTCCTAGTATGAGACTCCTCAGCAGTGTGCAGCCACGATCTCCCCAGGGACTGAACCCACGACCTTCAGGTTCCGTGGATAGCATGTTAACATTGAGCGAATGGGTTGGAATCCAGTGGTAGTGGGGCAAGCCTGGTGACCGTGAGGACAAATACTCAAGGATGACATTGGGTGGCGGTCGTGCTATGTCGTGAACTAACGGAAGTTGAAAATACGGATCATTGGATTCCAACCCAATGGTAACGTACTGTCCACGGAACCTGATGGTCGCGGGTTCGGTCCCTGGTGGAACTATGGGTGCGTACTGCTGGAGTCCCATACTAGGGTGAAACAGCTGTCCAGTGCTCCCCGGTTCCCAGTTTTCCCCAAAACATTATTATCTTTAGCGTATTTATTATTATCCACTCGGTCACTTCAATGTCAAACCTACGGTACTTCAAATGGCATGAATATACACAAAATAAAGGTTATAAAGTACAAGACTGCATTGAATTTTGTCATGTGGCTGGGTGGCCGAGTTGATCAGTCTTCATTGGCATATGAACTACTGCGCAGATGCCTCGATATTGCCTGCATTTTAATCATATATTATTGATGAATAGGGGCCATCAACAACATCAAAACTATACTCGTCGTATGAGAAGTGGTTGTCATGACTCTGTAGCCTAGTGGCGTTTGAAGCAAACATCGCTCACTAGGAGGCAGGTGCATAAAGTTGGCAAGCCCAAAATAAGACGAAACGCGCACCCTGGATTCTACTGTTAGCCACTATCCATCTTCTTTCTTTTTCCTCTTTACAGCTACAACTCGATGAGGACATATAGCTCTGAATTTCAGTCTAAACATAGCTGCTTAGCGGAAATAATACGTGCTCTGTGACGCAAAAAGGTATTGAACTGCTCTCAATCTTTCGAGGTTTTTGGAATATCTTCACAATTAACTCACCTACTGGTCAGGATGCTTCAAGCAACGAACCGTCTAGACTTTCCCAACACTTATAGTAGCAGAGACATTCCGAATAAATGATTTAAACCAGAGACCAATTTACCTAGTGTCTCGGAACGCGACATACATGCAGTGGTTCCATGCTACATGTTTTCTAGTACTCTGTATCAAGTGATTCTTTCAAATGGAAGTTACTGTGCATCAAATACACTTCTCGAATGTTGCTGCTTACATTAATACAAAAGATAACCGGTCTATATGTAACTACTGCCATCTAGACTATTAACCGTTTCAGCATCTATTTCCGTACACTATAACAAGTATTCCCAATGATATTAATCTATATGATCTTTAAATGTAACATAGTGAACTGGGAATGCATTGATTTAGACATTCCCCTTGGTTATATAACTGTGGATAATTTACTTATACTCCAGATCATATACTAGTCCTTTATGGTTATTAGCAAAGCTAAAAACTGAAGAACTTACTAGTAAATGGATAGTTGCATTACTAAATAGCGTACTATATAAGTGGGCTAACAACGTCGGCTGATTATAAAGCAAACTTCAAACACTGTGGGTTTTCGCTCCTAATAATAGAATCAATCTGTGTGATGGGAGATGGAAAATTCATGCCCATCAATGATTGGATATGTGAATTGATATCAAATAGCACTTTGTGAACTCTCAAGAATTATAAATTTGATGATGCTTATAAACTGGTATCTCTCCATTATATGAGAGTAACGATTACTATTATCTAAACTTTTACACTCTGTATGTGCTAAAAAGTGATACTTCCTCATCCGTTTCTTAACTGGCGGGATCTTCTAATGTTTTTACTAGAGTTGAATGTCCTCCCTTCTGTACTACTCATCAACAGCCGTCTACACTGACTCGATACTAAAAATCAGATGGTCAGAATAATAATAAGAAGAATAAGCAACAAGAAACTCTGGGGACGGACCAACCAAGAACCTATCACCCAACAAATATGCACTGGAAGAAACTGGAGATTAAAAAGGCTGATTGGGGATATCACGAGCAAGACCAAACCCTCGAGTAGAATCCAAAAGGGAAACGACGAGTTGGGCGTCTCAGCTAAGGATGACATGGAGGAGATGATATGACGAAGAAATAAGAGCTAATGGGCAATCGTGGTGCCAGGTTGAGCAAACTGCAGAGAACAGAGTGTAATGGAGGCGTGCTACTGAAGCTCAGTGTCCCACTAGGAACCCAAGGGATATTTCCTTATCCCTTTCATAACTAGCAAGATCTTTTTATGTTTTTATTAGAATTGAGTATCCCACCCTTCTGTACCAGTCAAGATCCATAAAATCTTGTAGATTTCTCAACATATAACAATATGATGATTCCGATAAACTGCCTTTTCTTCTCATATTCAATTAACTTATATGAGAATAGAATAGAATATTTGCTTATTTATCATTGATAGTATATTGAATATTGGAGAGAAACACCCAAAAGTGTATAATAAGAAAGTTTAATCAATTGAAATGAACACGTACAGAATGGGAGTAGGGTAGTGAATAAGCGTATGCGTTGTTATATAAGCTTAATCAGCACAAATCGATACAATCATAACTGAAGAAAACCTTTTCATATTGATACTCATGTTACAATTTAATTCATAGTAAAATAATTAAAAAAATAATGAATAATTAATGAAAATAAAGAGATGAAATGAGAATAAATGTATGTCAACATTATTATTATTATTAATATCATGATTACAACAAGCATCATCAATTGATCAGTAATGGTAAAGAGAAGTTTAAACACAGAATTTCCCATCTGAAGAACATTCCTTCGATTCTTGACAAAATGTATCCCCATTTGATTCACAACATTTGGACTAAAATGTAAACAACAAAAAACTCCATAACAATAGATAAGTTTGTTTTTATTTTTTATAATTTCTTTGTATTTTGAAGTTTTTTTTCTTAGTGGTTGGATTAGTTTTACGGGGGTAGAGTTGCTAGCCCTATGCCCAACCTTCCCTGTTTACCCGGACTTAGGATCGGCTAATAACTAGTGTACAAGTTAATCAGGCGAGCAAGCACTAATCACCATTAACGGGAGAAACTTAAAGCAAGTAGTCTCTTCCACCCATCTACTTACCTAGGCAGCATCGTTTCAACTACAGGCGAGGATGTCAAGACCAGCCAAGATCGGAAAGACAGAAAGACAGGCTTTCATTAGTCTGAAATAACCAGTGTGGAGATCTATTGCACTCAGCATAAAACGTGAATAAGATCCAGAATTTCAACATCAATATCAAGTCAGTGCTTCTGTGTGATGGTTCAGAAACTTGGCACATCACGAAAAGCACTTCCAATAAACTAAAGACATTCATCAACAGCTGACACCTACGCTCACTCGGTACTGAAGATGAGATGACCAGAATAATAAGAATAAGCAACGAGGAATTCTGGTTGGCTGCCAACGAACCAACCGAAAACCGATCACCCAATAAATATGCAGAAGAAAATGGAGATGGATGGGATTGAACATACACTGAGAAGGCCGATTATGGACATCACGCGCCAGGCCCTCGAGTGGAATGTAAAGGGGAAATGACGAGTTGGGCATCTGAGGTGAGGGTGACATAGAGGAGATCATGTGAGGAAGAAATGGAAGGTTATGAGCATCCATGGCGCCAGATTGAGCAGACTGCAGAGAAGAGAGTGCAATGGAGGGGTGCTACTGAAGCCCTATGTTCCACTAGGAACCCAAGGGAAAAATAATAATAACATAATAGTACATATCTAACAAATGGATATAAAGAATGCTGAAACTTGGCGATAATTCAGGTTACACCATTTAGCTCTAGTTGATACACATGAAAATTAACATTACAAGTCATGAGTCACCTGCGTAGAAGTTTCTGTACCTCAATTTTTGTCGTTGTGTGGTCAAGAAAAATCTTATTGGACAATCTTATCCTAAAGTTGACCAATCAGAAAAAGATGTTTAACTTTTGACCTAATGATTTTATATGTTCATGAAAATTGTATTTAAATAACGTTGTTTCTTTGGTCGAATAGCGTGTCTTTCTTAAAATCACAAGTTAGTCTTTATCTTTTGATACTTTCATTGCTCAGTGAAGTAGACGGTAGTGAGAAAGAACAGTCGGTATTTGCATCTCAGTGGGTAAGTATCATTTGGTGACTTTTCATTATTCACTCGGTCACTTCACACACCTCTATAGGGAGAGAGTACCTTCCACACGGTCTGATACAGTAAATTAATGCCAATCCCGGCTACAATACCAGTCAATGACAAAAAGCATCCAACTATTACTAACCATTGAAGTATCCCTGGCTTATAGAGAATGAAAGCAGACATTAAGCAAGCAAAGTAAGCATTGGATTTTCAGTGAGATGTGCTCTGGTCAATTATGTGTGTGTGTGTGTGTGTCTACACGACATGTCTAACATGCAATGGTGAAAGATACTACTCACGAACAATTTGAGTAGCTAGAAACAAATCACGCTAAATGGTATATCTCGCCAGTCAGATCAAAGCGATCTAAACACTAAACGGCTTCTTCACTAGTTTGGGGCCAAGCATATCAGTGGTGTTCCCGGACAAATTTAGCTCATACAGCAAAAATTACTTCACACTACCTGAACCTGGCTAACTGGCTTAAATGGATTGCTGTTATAATTAAAACTATGATGATCAACTTTCAAATGATTTAAAAAGTCCACACTCCACGTTGACATTTCTCCTATCTGAGCAATTGTTCAACAGGTTTCCAACGGAAACTTTGCTGTCACTATAACTGGCCAGTTGAGAAAAGAAACTACTCAGCTGTGAGAATGTCAATATGAACCGTGCAATTTGCAAACAATATATGTTAACTGTCTTGGTTGTATTGTGTTCTCTGAACTGGGTTGTTTAATCGTGAAGCTTTCATCCTCCTTCTAGGCAACATAACCATAAGCACTAATTTCAGTATGAAGTGAGCTGTCAATATCTCTCCGTAAGTGATTTAGCAGCTCGCCCTGACCAACTGCTTTGTGATTGGTTATCTCCTTTGATTGTTGTGTCATTGACTGACTGCACAGATTTTCCTGTTGGCTGTTCCTCTACTTCACCTGTCGTTTATAATTTTTCTTGTTGGTTGATAGATTCGTTCTACGTCTATACATCTATTAATTGCTGACTGACTGACTGACTGACCTGAATGCCAAGTGTCTAGGAAGTCTCTGATGATATTCCTTGTGTTTCCCCTCTGTATCCAAGATTTCTACACTGTTGGAATTGAATTCATGCCCATAATTACCCACGTGCATTGAGTAGCGAGTGACGAAATGTCGTGAGGTTTAATAGCCGATTGGTCTTCATGTAGACGAAGGCGAAGAGGGTGACCACTTTGTCCAATGTAGTGTTGATTTTGTAAATGATAGTTGGTTTGTCTATGGTTGGTGCATCCTTTGGTCTGCATATTGGGGTTTGGAAAGAATTTGTTGGGTTGTTCCTACTGTAGCTACAATAGGAACGGCAAGATATACAAATAGATGAAAGGAACTTCAATAGGATCACCGATATCCGGATTAATTGCAGAAACAGTGATGTAGAGACTGGAATCCATCATTCTACCTGTGATTAAACCAAAAATTTGGATTCACTATGTAGACCATACTTTTGCCATCATTGAAAATGATGATATAGAAAACCCCTCACAGCTTCATCAACAACGTTTTCAATGACATCAAATTCACAATGGAGAAGCAGTCAAACAACCAACTACAATTCCTCGATGTTCTAGTTAGTAGGACAAATGCTGGAAAGCGGGAAACCCAAGTGTACAGCAAGCCAACACACAATGACTAATCAAAATTCCTCAACTACAGTATCAACAACACACAAAATTAGTTGCATGCAAAAACTGTTCAAAAGAGCGAGAACACATTGCACAGCAGTACAACAAGTTCACTGAGAAACCAACAAAATTACTTGGTGTCCATCATAAAGAGGAACAGCTACCCAAGAAACTTTATCAGAAGATCACTATCCCGTGCATCATCAACTACAAAGTCATCGACAGAAATCAATTAACGCATCGTCCTACCATAACATAAAGAATATCACGACAAGATTACTGAGACCACTTGGAATTGATGTGACAACACTCACCAAGCAACAAATTCCCTCCAAATCCCAATATACAGACCAAACGATGCAACAACCATACACAAACCAAATATCATTTACAAAATCAACTGCAATAACTGTAATCAACACACCACATTGGACAAAGTGGTCACCCTCTTCGCCTTCGTCTACATGAACGTCATGACATTTCATCATTCATTTCAATGGACATGGATAACAACTATGGAAACGAATTCAATTTCGACAATGTAGAAATCTTGGATATAGAGAGGAAACACAAGGAATATCATCAGAGACTTCCTAGACACTTGGCATTCAGGTCAGTCAGTCAGTCAGTCAGCAATTAATAGATGTATAGACGTAGAACGAATCTATCAACCAACAAGAAAAATTATAAACGACAGGTGAAGTAGAGGAACAGCTAACATGAAAATCTATGCAGTCAGTCAATGACACAACAATCAAAGGAGATAACCAATCACAAAGCAGTTGGTCAGGGCGAGCTGCTAAATCACTTACGGAGAGATATTGACAGCTCACTTCATACTGAAATTAGTGCTTATGGTTATGTTGCCTAGAAGGAGGATGAAAGCTTCACGATTAAACAACCCAGTTCAGAGAACACAATACAATCAAGACCATCCACCTGAGCTACAAATATTCTCCACTATTTCAATATGTTATCTGTGTTCAGCGACTACGCAAATCAATACAACATGTTGACCGGAAGTGAGAAATGGATAGAAAAAGGCTTAACAACGACCAAGTACATCATTGTATAAAAGTGTAATATAAATGACAGCTGAAGTTGATTGTAAAAAAACCTTAGAAGAACAAACATCACACAAGACACAGACATCTCAATGTAACCAGAAAACATATTCTACACCCATTATAATACGTTCATCTTTCTGGAATTTATATTTTTTCTGAGTAACATTTTACTATAATACTCTTTATCCAATGATTAGTAGAGCTACCTACTTCAATTTGAACAGCTCGCATCCATCAATTCAATCAATGATTCGATACATTTTTTTTTGTTTTGATGTGTTTATGGCAACAAAAAAAAGATGGTTGTATACTGAGGAGTAAATATAGAAAACTAATGTCTAAGGCACAGTTTACACACTTTATCACCTTCGTATCGATGAAGTACAAACATAATATAAAATCAGGTGTTTGACATTTAGAGTAAGATCGATTTCTTTCAAAGAGTGTATCCATGATATTCTAAGTGGAAACGGATATCCAGATATGTTCATCAAAACTTACATCAACTACATTGGTGCTAAACAATAACTAATGAGAGTAGAGAAGAAGCCTTTATATTTCTACGCTTACAATTCAAGGGAGATGTGGCGGCGAATGACATTCTATCACAACGCCTAGCTATACCAGTCAATAAGATGTTTTTTATGCAGATCGGCTTCGCCTACCACTCAGTAGTCGGCTAATGCTCAATCCGAGACTGAAGCATACCCTACCTAATCTTAGTTCTTCATCTTGCATATATCGACTTCACTGTTCCTGTGGAACGAGTTATACAGAACACATGATTAGGTAGGTGCATCTCCGGATACGAGAGTATTTACTAGGTTGGTTGGGAAAGGGCGAAGTGAGAGTGGTGAAAAGTTTAGTCGCAGTGCACCAAGTTGACACAGAACATCGCACAGATGTTAATGAAGCTTTCAATGTCATTCATTGTATTCCAACATCAGAACCACGTGTAGCTCCCCAACACCTGTTCGTTATAGCTGAGGTTGTCGCAATAAGACTGATCAAACCTGAACTTTGCATTCCGAAAGAACATATCCAAGTGTTACTTCTCCTTTGACCTTCAGTAAACTAAAGGGCACTTCTGACACCTTATTCGTTTTTATAATTGTAAGACCTGATGAGATAGTATATCGAGATGAATATTTTTCGTTCAGATTGTTGCTTTTTTTTATTATAAATGTTGTGGAAATCTTTAGTTATTTGAAATCTTTCAATTACAATTGCATCATGTTGTTTGATACAATGAGATAAGTCTTACAACTGGATACGTCTTGGATAGTGTACTCCTAATTTATCTGTTGAATCTACTTGCAATATCATCTCCATTGAAAGCTAAATTAAGAAACACTGGTTAGGATTTCAGTAGTACTGTATCCCGCAGTACTGTTTCTACACAACCTTCATCGGATAACTATTATTGTGTAGACACTATCCAATGAGTTGAAATTCTTCGATCAATTTTTCTTAGGAACATAATCCTGCTCTGTGGCACAAAGTGTTCGCTAAAAACCTCTGTTGTAGCTGATTGAGAAGTTTATTATTATTATTTGTCCCTTGAGTTCCTAGTGGAACATAGGGCTTCAGTAGCACATCTCCATTCCACTCTCTTCTCTGCAGTCTTTTCAACCTGGCTCCACGACTGCCCACAACCTCTCATTTTTTCCTCACACCATCTCCTCCACCCTCACCTTCACCTCGGACGCCCAACTCGTCGCTTCCCATCTGGGTTCCACTCGAGTGCCTGGCACGTGATGACCTCAGTCGGCCTTCTCAGTGTATGTCCAATCCATCTCCACTTCCTTTTGCATATTTATTAAGCGATGGGTTCTTAGTTGGTTCGTTCCAAGAGTTCCTTGTTGCTTATTCTTTCTCGCCTTCTCATCTGATCTTCACTGACGAGCCAGTGTAGGCAGTTGTTGATGAAGTTGATTGAGAAGTTATTGAAGTTTAATAACTGCTTGGTCCATATAGTTTTTCAAGTGAATGCTTCTTCCCATTGTACCATCTTCATTAGGCTTGAAATATAATTCGAGTAAATTCAGTTGCTGTTTCTTTTTACATCATCAACAGATGAATTAGGAGGATCCATCCAACTGCGAAACTTATATCTTACTGTATCACAAGTAATATATTCAATTATATAATTCATATCAGATAAAGTGGCAACTCTTGTCAACTCCAAGTATATTTATCAATTAAAATGTACAGGTGGTAGCAAGTAAATAAGAAGAGAGAGGTGGCTGTACACTAGGATTCCAGAACATGAGTGTAGCGTCAAAAATTACTCTTGGGCTTTGAAAGGATGCTTTAAGTAATTTATGACAATTAGACTATCGTTTGTAAATGAAAGATTGAACTATATGTAGCTAGTTTTATCTTCTAAACTCCTTGAAGCTATTTCTGTAAGAGCAGAAAACTAGCTCAATGGATCACAGAGATGACCATTAACTATTAGGTTATGGGTTCGAACCCTATTTCATCTATCCAGTTTTGTGTAACCAGATAGTATCACTAGCCTTCAGACAATAAGCATGACTGATTCCCTACTCAACAAATGTGCATAAGGTGACTGAGTGAGTTCGGTTCTATTCCATTAATGTAAGTTAACTACCACTATTATATGATCTCAGAGTTGTATGAAATGTTATAGTGAATGAAGCTTCTATTAAAAATATTTTTAAAAAACAGGGATATAAGAATCATCTTAAATTAGACTTTAACAAGATAACTTTTGAAATAAAATTCCTCACCTTGAAACCTTATTACTAGTTTGTAAAGGATTTTAGTGGTTTATGTCAGGCAAAGCTAACTATGATAATTGTTTAATACTCTTCAAGATTTAAAGTTTGCTGTTAGACTTCTATCATCAGGTTAAGAAACTTCATCAGTATTTCACCTCATATATATAAATGAAACATTTTTGAGTTTTATGAAAGTTTATAGATAATATATATCTTTACTCTTATCAGAGGTTGACTTGAATTATATCATTTGAAAATTGCTATGACCGTTAACGATACATGGATATCAACTGTCAGTCACCAACATTCAACAAATTCCTAGTTCATTTCCGACCCAACTAATTTATGGAAAAGACACAATGAACTTGTAGAAACGTGTATTCGAGTCCAAAAGATCGAAGAAAATACGGCTAATACATAGATATATTGTTATTGCTTGTATTATAGCGTCATTGATTGCACCAGATTGATCAGTCTCTATTGGCATACTAGATCCTGCGCAGATGCATCGGTATTCCCTGTGTTTTTAATTACATAGTAATGATGGATATTGGCTAGTAGCGTATTCCAGAACACCGGTAGGAACAATATCACTCACTCCGAGGCAGATACATCCACCTGACGAGTCCCAAATAGAATGAAATGAGCATCCTCGATTTCACTACTAGCCAATATCCATCATTACTAGTACATACATAGTTCACCCTTTAAAATAATCCTATTGATTTCCTGATCCATCATCTGTCTCTCTAACTATACAGACATAACAGCATAAAGTACATCTCGATTGGTCCCTCTCCACACTACGCTTTCCTCTCTATCCCCATATCACCTCCCTCCTCGAAACAACGTCACTTCGAGTCAGTCCTGTCTTTTTCGTCCATCTATCTGACTGACACAGAGGGAGTTTCACCAGCTCGATATTATTTCAGAGGACAGGTGCATAAGCAAGAAAATCAGCCATCAAGTCAACAGATTTACCTACTGATCGAGAAGACCATTTGTCCTAGTATCTGGAGGATGACCCTCGTATACGTCATTGTATAGATTGCCGACAACAGCCATCCTTATGCCCAACAGCTTCACAGTCCTGACATCAATGTTATGTGGACAAGAGTTGACGGAATGACAGGCAAGGTGATAGGAGTTTTCTTCGAGGCTCGATTGATATCGCATGAGTTACTCGACCGATGAACAGGCCACATAAGGTCAGGGTATATGTGTAGCCACAGGGTGATGCATGCCAATAAGATGTCTGGCTAATTGTATGTACTTCACAACTACCCTGCCGTTCAGATTCGGCCAAACTTGTATCACACTCCAGGCTATCCTGTCGTTGATATTCTGCACATATGTCACTCAATGTCTGGACTGTAAAATCGAAAGTGCGATCACGTGGGTTCTATGGCAAAATCACAATGCATTATTCGTGGAACTAAGGTCGACGAAGCCTTCCAACTAGGAGACGTACCTTCCAAGAATCATCTTGTCTAGCAAAATACAATTCAAAGTGCTCTTCGTAACGTCTCAATCAAGCACTAAAAGTCTCATTGCCATCAAGGTCGTAATTAAATTCAATGATGTTATTGGTGATGCCATCAACTGAAGGAGCTATTAAAACTAGGCGGTGATTCAGTAGAAGGAATTTTGAATTGAGTTAAGATCTGGCTAATCCTTATTTGTTGTTTGAGGAATTTTTTCAAATTCGAAGAATTCCTATCTCAATATCCCAATCCCTGTCGCCATTGTTGATTCCTGACCCAACAAATCAATGGAGAAGACACGATGGATATATAGAAACGTGTATTGAAATCGAAAGATTGACTATAATGATTCTATTGATTGATTAATCTATCGTCTATCTGTATAACTGTAGAAATTATGATTGGTTCCTCTTCAAGCTGGGCGGGCATTTCTCCTTATCCCTATATCACTGCTGTTATCATTTGACTTAATATCTGACTATCGTTTTTCATTACACTGATTTCTATCTACTTCATTTGATCTCTTATCTAAGTCGCTTGTATATGTTTATTGATTATCATTTCATTGGTGTATTACACTTCCAGAAATTCTATTAATGATTTTCAGGTCTGTTTGTTGTAATAATTCGATTTCTTATCATTTATACCACTTCAGTGATATATTCAATTGCCTATTGAAGGTTATTATATACCCGAAAACTCAATATGATAGCTGTACAATAGAACAATACAGTGTGGACATTATACATAATCTATATGATTTTATTGTTTAGTAAACGAAATTTTATACGTGACTATTAGATGATATTATATATACATAAAATAATCATAATGAAAGATTCATTGAATTGTTTATCAGAAGAAAAAGATTGAAACATACCTGTTTCGGTGAACAAGTATAACCAAATTGTATGGAACGACAGCATTGTTCAGATTTAGTACAATAATGAAGTGAATCAGGACATATTGTATGCAAATATCTCTTGAGAAATCGATAACGTTGATATCTATGTTTCCAAACAACAATAAAAAAGAAAACCAAAAAACAAATTCTTCCCTTTAACGAAATATCCATTTGTTAAGCATAATACACCTGTATACATATATAAGGTGATGAAGATACCCAACCAACACCACCACCGCCAACAATAACAAGCTCCAATCACCATCAACGGGAGAAACCTAAAGGAAGTAGTCTTTTTCACCTATCTACGTAGCATCGTTTCAACTACAGGCGGCAAAGGCACAGACGAGGACATCAAAGCAGCCAGGATCGGAAAGACAGCAAGACAAGCGTTCATTAACCTGAAACCAGAGTAGAGATCTTCTGTACTCAGCACAAAGAGTGAATAAGATCCTGATTTTCAAAACTACAAATGTCAGTCAAGTCAGTGCTTCCATGTGATGGTTCAGAAACTTGGCGCGTCACGAAAAGCATTTACAACAAACAACAGACATTCATCAACAGCTACGACCTACACTGGCTCGATACTGAAGATCAGATGAGAAGACGAGAAACAATGAGCAATGAGGAACTCTGGTCTGCCAACAAACCAACCAAGAACCTATCACTCAACAAATATGCATTGGAAGGAAGTGGAGATGGATTGGATAGGGCATTCACTCAGAAGGTCAACTGGGGACATCACGCGTCAGGCCAGGCACTCGAGTGGAACCCAGATGGGAAACGACGAGTTGGGCGTCCCAGCTGAGGATGACATGGAGAAGATCGTGTGAGGAAGAAATGAGAGCTTCTGAGCTATCGTGAAGCCGGGTTCAAAAGATTGCAGAGAACAGAGTGTACTGAAGGCGTGCTACTGGAGCTCTATGTTCCACTAGGAACCCAAGGGACAACTAATAATGATGATAATAATAAACATACATATAAGCACTGAAAATACCTGGCATGAATACGGTTTATAAAGTATACAATAAGTCTTTGAATATGATTATACTACAACCAAGGTCACGTGTACTGTACAGCAGTCCAATCTGTTCTATTGTGTATGACTGTGAAACATGACCATTGAAGGTGGAAGATATGACAAGGTTTCAGGTGTTTGACCGACAACGCTTTCGTAGTATAGGCCGTATTCAACGCTGTCACCACGTGAGTGACGAAGAAGTAAGGTGTGAAGTTTTAGGGAGGGAGAAGAGGTAAATCAGTTGGTGATGCTGTGAACCTCGATGGACTAAGATGGCTGATTGGGACATGTGTTATGTATGCCTAGTCGCCGTCTGCGTCGTCACACAATGTTGGCCGAAATGGGTTCAGACTGGAAAAAGTCATGACGTGACCAAACTAAAACATAGCATCAATGTATGAAGTGTTTGACTCATGGTTTAAACCATGTAGGGTGATGCAGAGTAGTCGGTTGAAGTCAGAGTGACATGAGAAACAAGTGGTTGGAGAATGACTCTAGGTGATGATATGGGTGAGAGCCAATGTCAGTGGGGCAGATGTACACGCACACATATTATCCTCATCTTAATGACACTATACCGAATCTCACCATTTTCTCACTCTTCCTTTCTCTCTCTCGTTGAGCACTTTATATTTCTTTTGACTGAATTTTCTTCTCTTCATCTTCCAGTTCACTGCTTTGTTGTTTGATGTACTGATATGAGGTGTAGCAAGTTGGACCGTTACACAGTAATGCCTGGTCCTATGTTGATTTGGGTGGATAGATGACTGTAGCCAGCTATAAATGTTTAAATGGCACACGTAACATCACTGCCGGCATCACCTTATTGCCATTTCAGCACAGAGAAATCTTGAAGGTATGTAAAAATTACTAGAAGAAATATTTATCCATACCGAGGTTGGTTAAGAGTGGATTAATTTTTTACAGTAATCGTTTGAAATCAGCCAGAAAATCAATCACAAACATAGTACACTAAAAAACTGTTTCATTTTAACCATCAAAGACTCCTTCTCATCAACGTCCCATTGGCTTAGTCATGAGATAGATTAGGCGAAATTCTAACAGGAAATCATGACCTATGACATCATTATAATGTATGTGTGGGTTGGGGAGCTTGACTTTCAGCCAATTAGTAACGCATTCCAACATCACTCCACCTACAGAAATGATTTGGGTAGCCATGAAGCATCATTAGCTTTCTCATACACTAGGTGTTACACACTGCCTACTGCATGAATGTGTATAACGTTGTTGAGTGGATTTTTTTTATTGTATTTTAGTGAGTATTGCCTTTCATGTCATAAAAAACAATACCGAAATTCCAAGAAAGTCATATGATAATTATACGATAAAATGTATTATTCATCAATTAGACAAAATCAATGCGAATTCATTTACCTTAGAAATAACCAAGATCACTTGCATTTATGCAGGTACTAAACTTGACAATAAATCTTCTTTAACAAGAACAAGGCATGTATCAACTAACAGAAGTTGGAAATATAGACCATTGGATTCTGACCCTTTGACTCAATGGCAACGTGCTGCTGACCGCGGAACGTGAAGGTCGCTGGTTCGATCCCCGGCGAGGTCGTGGGTGCGCACTGCTGAAGAGTCCCATACTAGGATGAAACAGCCATCCAGTGCTCCTAGGTTTCTATTGTTCCTTCAAATGATGTCAGTCTACGATGAATAACAACTTGAAGAAGTATTTCTTTTCAAAGAATTCATTATCAAGCTGTACAGTCATATTTATACTCGGAAAATGACAGATAATTCCACTAAAAAGTTGCTCAGTTTGTTCATGTATAGCTAATGCTTCAGTTATGCATAAGTCGTTGAAACGTAAACCTTTGAAATAGTTCAATTTAACTTTGTAAATTACTTTAAAGGATGAATCTTAAGGTGCTGAGTGCACCAATACAACAAGGTGTTCACATATGGATGAAGTCGTTTTCCTTTGCTCGCCTCTGGTAAGCCAAATCGAGTAGTGTTGAGTAACACGTTTTCGGAGGGACCGCCCTATTTTACACGTTTCAGCTTAATTATCATCATTTTACAATTATTTGACAACATGTGTCTCTTATCTCATCACTTGTTATCTCAATATTCGTCCCTCCTCATTCAATGACCCATTTTCTATCTCTTCCACTTGAACAAATACCACCATGCCTCCACCGATTGTATATTTTGCATATTGACTGAACAAGTCTCTTTCTTAGTGGAATTATCTGTCATTTTACCGAGTATAAATACGACTGTACAACTTGATAATGAAGTTGCTGAAAAGAAATGCTTCTTCTTCATTGATACATGCCTTGTTCTTGTCAATGAATGAATGGGTATATTTCGTCAATAAATCTTCTGTTTTTCTACCACTTCTGATCATCATCATCATCATTATCAACATAGGACCAGGCATTACTGCGTAACGGTCCGAGTTGCCACACCTCATATCAGCACATCAAGTAAAAGGTAGTGAGGTGAAGGATGAAGATAAGTGAATGTAGTCAAAAGAAATATCAAGTACGAGAAAAAAGGAAAGAGGTATGACAAAATGGTGAGATTCGGTATAGCGTCGTTAACATGAGGATAATGTGTGTATACATCTGCGCCACTGACATCGGTTCTCAGCCATATCACCTAGGGTCTCCAACCACTGGTTTCTCTTGTCCCACCGACCCCAACCACCTAGTCTGCATCGCCCCACATAGCTCAATCCAACAGTCAGAGACTTCATACATTGGTGCCATGTTTTAGTCTGGACACCTCGAAACGCTTTCCAGACTGGACCCACCTCAGCCAACATTGTGTGACAAGGCAATCGGTGACTAGGCATACGTAGTACGTGTCCCAACCATCTCAATAATTACCCATCTAAATTCATGAGGAATCGAAAGGAAAGGATTAGCAGTGGTAGTAGTAATACAGGAGTTATCAATAATAATCCTACTACTAATAGTATTAGTGGTAACAGGGTTGAGGGAGGGAGAGAGAGAGAGTACAAAGTCTCTACTGTGTTACTATACAAGGAAGGCATCTCAGAAGCATTACGAAGAATTCTCAATAAGGCAGGCTGGGATTAGAGTGAAATTTAAGCCAATAAACTCCATTAGAAACAAGCTTTGTAGGTTAAAAGATCCTATTGATGCAATTAAACAAAGTAATCTGGTTTACCAAATCCCTTGCAATAATTGCAAAGTCAAATACATAGGTCAAAGTAGTCGACCAGGGTCAACTAGCATAACAGAAGACAGAACTTACCTAAATCAAGATTAGTAGATCTTCACAAGATAAGAAATTTAGGGAAATGTCCAGCTATACCTCTGCACCCGATTACACACAACCATAAAATAGGGTAGGATAGACCGATAACGTTAAAAACTAACTTAGTTGGGTGGAGGGGTTGGGGATTGATAACCGACTAGATCTTTGTTTATCGAATCAATACCAAATAGATGCATTAATAGAAATGATTCTGTACGTGTCCCAGATATATGGAAAATTCTATTATCCTTGTCATCACAGAGAAGGTGAGAGAATTAAGAGTATATAAATCTGTCTCAAAGTTGTAAAGTTGGTTACCTGATATAAATATGGACAATATATTGTGTCCAAAGCATTATCTAGTAAATGATAATGTTCCCTCACTCCTTTATGAATTTTTTATTTTCTCCATGAAGAAAATACGTAGTACGCCTAGTCACCACTTCTGATGTGTTCACGGAATTGAATCATTATCAAGCGTTGGATTTGTAAGCTAGCGCTTAAACATTCATACATCCTATTAGGGATTAACACCGCATATTAGAATCAAGTTGAGTGTACGGAGATAGTTATTGATTGATCGATGGTATAGAATGATAATAGTAATTGGACACAAAGTTGAAAATATGAACCACTCGTATTTAACTTATTACTTGAATGAGAACCTATTTGTTGGGAATGTTGAGTGAATGAAACATAGGAATATGCACTTCTCAAAAGTTCCAAACTACATTGAAACAGAAGTTCAATGATGATTGATCTTTACAAATGGTTCTCGAGGAGCCAATCAAAAATCAAACAAGTACACAATTTAACTAGCTTCCAATATTTTAATAACTGAATATTTTGTCAAAGAATATACAGAACAGAAGTGATATTCTTCCAGATGGATATCATGAAGTTCTAATGAGAAGCCGTCATCTGTGGGATCAATCAGTCAGAAGGGAAGCAGATGCCATCTGAACACCATACGTGATAGTCGCTCTATATCATAAATTGATAGAAGCTGGAAACTGTGAACTGTTGAACTCTGACCCAATGGTCAATGGTTAACGTATTCGCCATGATACCTGAAAGTTCTGAGTTCCACCTCTGACTTTAGAGTATCTCAGACTGAAAACGTATCCTATTTATTAGAATTTACAGTAACTTTGAAAAGCAAGAGCCAATCAGAACGCTAGCGAGTTATACCTAAGTTCGAGAATAAAAGGATGGGGAAAAAACTATTCAAATATATACATACCATAATAACTTCGAAAAGAAATGACAGAGATACTATGAAAAGATTTTACACAAAAAACTTTATTCTAAACTGTTAAAAATTAGGACGGATAAATTGTTCAAAGGTTTTTGTGATCTTTTATTTCTCACTGATAAGAGGTAATAATTAAAAGTAATCGAATGCTTAAAACAAAAACCTATGAAAAAGAGAAATAATCTTACAATGTAACCTCTTCATGATCAAAAGGTAAAAAAAAATACTTACAAAAGGAATACATTTCTTTCAGCAGGTCTAGAGGTACTCGCTAATTGTATACTGAATCGTCCTTTCTCATTATTTGATGGTAGAAAATGTGATCTTTTCATATCCTTTATAATTGAAATAGATGGTATTAATCTGGGTGCAAATGGTTTAGACAAGTTGTTCAACAATAATTTTTCACACTTTCCATCATTTAAACATCGAGATCCTGATGGACAACAAGTATTTTGTCCAGCACAGCATACACCCTAGAATAATAGTAAATAAAAAGAAAATGATTAACTGGACTATGAATATATAATACACTTTAGAAAGGAAATAAACTGCCACTTAAATTGTCAATCACATGATTAGTGCCAATATTCCAACTGCTAGACGATGACGTTAAGAAGTGAATACACCTGCGCTATTATGACCAATTTTCAACTATGCCACCAAAATTTCTTTTGTCTCAGACCGATAGCAAGAGACACTTCATTGACTGGTGCCATTTTTTGGTCTGGCCACCATCAACTCTCTTCCAATCTAATCCCAAATTCTGATAATATTTTGTGCCGATGTAGGCGATGGCTCGGTTAAGCTTGTACAGTACATGTCAAAGTAATTTCATTCAACAAAGGTTCACAACCATACTAACAGGCTTCCCTAGCTTGCTTAGTACCTTTCAGTTGACCTCAATATTGCTCACGATGTGATTCTACTAAATACAAGCAATGCTATGAAGACATATGATCAAAATCCACTAACCGCTTCGTGTTTTCTACTTTCAATAGGTATGTCACACAGACATATAACATTCTGTGATCAAGGCTTATCCTATCCGTTTTTTCAGTCATTTAGCTTTTATTGCGTTGAATTTATGGATACCCAGACAACGATAAACCTATCAAACCCTTGATGAACAATAAACAAACCTGATCGTGCCAAGGTCAGTGATGACCAACCTAACGTTGTACTGAGTAGGCAAGTTAGTTGATGCCATCGTGAACCTTCATCGACTGAGGCATATACTACGCACGTCTAGCTACCGTCTGCCTCTTCGCGCAATGTTGATTAAAGTAGGTTTATTTAAGAATATGATCACATGTTGGCAGATAGATCTCCATTGAACCCCAGCCTCATCATGAAAGCACTCAACTTTTGTTTAAAGTCAATACTCTTCACGTTTAGAGGAAAACTATGCAAGCAAACTAATGGAGTAGCTATGTGTTCTCCGGTGTCCCCTATCGTTGCAAACCTTTTCATGTCCTACATTAAATCAACCATCCTTTCGACCACCACCAAATCACGCATTTGGCTCAGATACGTAGATGATACTTTCGTGATTTTAAAAATATCTAGCCTCAGAACCTTTTCGAAGTTAATTAACACTTATTCTCCACATATCAAGTTCACTTGTGAACATGAAAGTGCAAGCAGGGAACTACCTTTTCTAGACTATTTAGTTAAAAGGAATGGAAATGGAAGTGTAAGTTTATCGATTTATCGTAAACCAACACATACAAATTGATATCTTGATTTTAACTCAGCACATCCACTCAGTGTTAAACTTTCACTTGCTCGGAACTTATTCAGGAGAGCCACAAAGCTCATCACGAATGAAGACGACAAGCAAACGGAAGTAAGTAATATATCAGATATGTTATATTCCAATAACTACCCGAAAACATGAACAATGGGACCCAAGAGAAAATTCAAATGATGGTTCTTGGATTCGTACAACAGTTTTACCATTCTGCCAAGGTACAACCGAAGAGTTACAAAGAATCTTAAGAAAGCACCGAATCAGGACCTTTTACAAGACAACCAACACTCTGAGAAATGCTCTAGTCCATGTAAAAGATAAAGTCCCTTTTACCTCTACACAAAATTGTGTCTACAAATTAGGCTATGTCGACTGTGATGCTTATTATATTGGAGAATCATCCCGTGAGATACTCATCGGGGCTGAAGAACATGCAAGTTACACAAAACAACCGTCAAATAATCCTGTAGAACTAGAGAATCAACAAATCAAGTCAGCGATCGCTGTTCATACCATATATCACAATCACAAAATCGATATTGAAAATATTAAAATTATTCAAAAGGGATTTTCAAACTACAAAGAAAGGAGAATAGCAGAGACATTTCACATCATGTTGAATCCTAATGCACTCGAGTAATAGAAAGGAAGGCCTAACTATTCAACCAACCTGGACAGTATTTCCAAAAACAAAAACAACACATCACACACACACAAACAATGATCTGGTCAAAAGTACATACATACAAACAAACCGAATTTTAGTGTTGTTGCTTGTATTACACCATCGAAGCAGGTACATCCAGCTGACGAGTCCCAAATAGGACGAAATGCGCATCCTGGATTCCACTGCTAGCCACTGCCCATCATTACTAAACCGGATTTTGTCATTCATATTATTTGTTTATTATTTTTTCACACCGTCACATATACACATATTCATATCACCTTGAACTCCAGACTAATTAGCTCATAAACAGAAACAAAATGTAAACGCTTGCTGACCAGCATAACAATGAGATTTACGTTCATAAGTTCATCATATATAGACGACAGTGTGATCTGATTCGTCACCTTTTACTATTTAAAGTATTTGATAACTTGTACAGGTTTTATTCTCTGAAGTAGAAGCGATTTCCACGAAGTCACGAAACGTCAGAAATTTGTTTTTCTACTTCATTAGGATTTTACAAAATATATTTTATTTATAATCCAATTAGCCAATGCTCAACTTATTCAACTCTATCAGATCAAATTTTGATCCTGAAGTTAACAAAAATATTAATAAGTAAATTCCAAGAACGTGTCTTCACTCATTTACTAAAGTCGAAAATTTATTTGGCTTAGATATGTTGGTGGTACATTTGCAATTTTAAAACATGACTTATACCAGACATTGTTAGATCAACTCAACTCTAGACCATCAAGTATCAAGTTCAGCTTTTGTTAAACGGAAAGAAAATGAACGTTTAGATGTAACCATTTTCAAGGAAGCAATATATTCGAACAAATATTTAGATTTTAATTCATTACATCCAATCCCCAGTGCAAAAGTTTCTGTTGCCGCCTGTAGTCTTTTATGGCGAGAGCACACACTCTAGTAACGGATGAAAATGAAAGAAGTCGTGATCAGTGGGGCTAGCCTGATAGTTGTGAGGACAGATACTCAACGATGACAATGGGTGGCGGTTGCTTTATGTCATGAACTGACAGAAGTTAGAAATATGGACCATTGGATTGTGACCCAGTGGCTGAATGGTAACGTCCTGGCCACGGAACCTGAAAGTTGTACGCGGGTTCGATCCCTGGCGCAGTCGTGGGTGCGCGCTGTTGAGGAGTCCCATACTAGGACAGAAGAGAGCAAAATCTAGAAAATACCTACAACTTACTATGACTATAATAACACTAACCGCATATAGTAATTGTTGATTCGAAAACCGCCCTGCCGCTAACGATACATGGATATGGACTGTCAGCCACTAACATTCAACGAATTCCTAGTTGATTCCTGACCCAACTAATCAATGCAGAAGACATGATGGACATGTAGAGACGTGTATTGTGGTCAAAAAGATCGAAGATCCAAAGACAAAGGGATATATATCTAACATATAGATAGCTGGTTGTTTAAAATAATCCTCTTGATTAGTATATCCACCATTTTTCTGTCTAACTGTAGACATGGTAACATAAAAAAACATTTTGAATGGTCACTCTCCAGACGAGTCATTTCTCTCAATCTATATATCAATGATATAACCTCGAAAGTAGTAGTCTGGAGGCTAATCTTATGACTCTAAATAAAGTATGCTAGTTACACAAACTTTGAAAATGCATTGCCCACAGTAGATCAGACAAGTTATAATTAATGCTGAGTTATTATTCACCAGCGCAATATATACAGGAGGAATTCCATAGTCGTCAATACAACAAATCATATAATATGATGAATTCATTTCAGCTGTTGTAGGATAACAGAATAACAATTTCAGATAACTTTCTACCAGTGACAGCTTTGTGTTGTCATATACATCAAATCCATTCACTGTTTGACCATACACATATTCAACATTGAACGAGTATTAATAATGCTTCACATGTTTTCTATAAAATCAAAATTATATAATACCAACTTACACCTATATATGGACAACAATACCATGAATTTAAAGCATCATCAGGACAACATGCCCAACTATCACCACATGCACCGCACCAACTTGCTTTCTTGAAATCAACCTTCTCATCATGATTATCATCTACTCTTGATGATGGTTGAGAATACAAAGCATCAGATGGTTGCAGAATAGATTTTTGCATAATAAAAGCTTCAGTGATTAACTGTGTATGTGGAAGATTTACATTAGTTGGAGATATACATTGTTTTGTTTCCAAATTACAAACAGAACCATTTGGACAGCAATGGTAACGATCAGCACAACAGATACCCTTTTAAAATAGTGATAAGAATAACAATAGTATCATAGTAAGATCCAAGCACTGAAGAAAAAAACCCATCTCCAATACGAATAAGTAAAGTATGAGATTTGTTTAAATACAATTTAGTAATCGTATGTTATTGATAACTAGCCTGTGAAATAGACTATGTGCTTAAACTATCAATGAGTCACCGGGTCGGGGGTCCAACTGTCTAGTAACCCCTAGATTTTTCAATGGTTCTTCAACTGACTTGAAATTAATATAATCTCCACAAACCTCTAAATTGAAACAGACAGACGAAGGGAGTTTCTCAGTCTTCAATTTGAAACAAGAATAGTATGGTAATATTTCAATCATAATTTCATAATTTACAATACTAAATGATACAGGTTTTAAAAAACCAAGAGAATTACCAGTTTCTTTCTGGTCGCAAAGACGCCTTGCTGATGATTGTTGATAGGCATGAAAACTAAATCCAGGAGGTTCCCTGTAGCTTGACTACTAACATCTAACACAAGGATATTGAAATCTGTAGTCAGTTTGTATTCACATGCTATGCATCTCTTAAGAACTGAAAACTTGCATTGACCAACTATTATAAATATTTTTCCCTTGGGTTCCTCACACCATCTCCTCCACCCTCACCTTCACCTCGGACGCCCAACTCGTCGCTTCCCATCTGGGTTCCACTCGAGTGCCTGGCATGTGATGACCTTAGTCGGCCTTCTCAGTGTATGCCCAATCCATCTCCACTTTCTCCCAGTGCATATTTATTGGGTGATAGGTTCTTGACTGGTTCGTCGCCAGGCAACCAGAGTTCCTTGTTGCTTATTCTTATTATTCTCGTCATCTCATCTTCAGTATCTAGTGAGTATAGGTGTCAGCTGTTGATGAATGTCTGTAGTTTGTTGAAAGTGCTTTTCGTGACACGCTAACTTTCTGAACTATCATATAGAAGCACTGACTTGATGTTGGTGTTGAAAATCCGGGTCTTGCTTACGCTTTACGCTGAATGTAGTGTAGCATATCTCCACACTGATTTCAGATTAGTGAAAGCCTGTCTTGGTCTTCCGACCCTAGTTTTGACATCCTCGTCTGTGCAGCCACCACCGCCTGTTGTTGAAACGATGCTGCCTTGGTAGGTGGGTAGGTGAAAGAGGCTACTTCCTTTAGGTTTCTCCCGTTGATGGTGATTGGTGCTTGTTGTTGTTCGTTGGGTATCATCATCACCTCTGTCTTTTTTACGTTCACTTGAAGTCCCGTTTTCGCTGCCCTGCCTCTTTTGTCAACTTGTTAGTTTTCGCCTGCAGATCTTCGAGTGTTTGCAACAAGACATTAAACATAAATCATCGGCGAGATCCAAATCATCTAGGGTCTTTTCATCGGTCCAGCTAGCGTATGCCCATCTTCTCGCTCCTCACGGTTTGCTGCATGATCCAGTCCACCACAATCAGGAAGATCATGGGTGATATCAGAGCTGGCCAACTCAACTAGCACAATGCACACTCAAGGGTTAACTACAACATGACTCCAGTAACTCTCACAACAACTTCTATTCATTAAACTTAGCGTGAAAGATTCTCACTCGCCATGAATGGTGTACATAGGATGTGACACCATATAGAAGTTATCAAAAACTCTGATATACAAATGCAACACATTTTCAAAATATGGACGAAAATATTTTTTTCTAAACGTCTATGTACTTGTAAGTTCTTTAGTTGAGGCGTTAAGACATACAAACTTCAAGTCTATTGAATACAGGTATCGTGTGTAACCTTCAACGGAGAACCAGTACACTGTTATACAGACTTCTATGCATACACTTAATTAATAATAACAATTCAATGTGAGAAAAATATTATTTGATTTAACAAAATCCTATTTATGGAGTACAATTATTAGTTAAACTAGTAGTGGGATCCTAGAGGAACCACTTGACAGAATGTAATTGATGTTATGATGCTTGTAATTTCCCGCTGCTATACAGGATCGAATTGCTAGATCTCTGTTGGTAGATGGCCTGCTCTTATGCAGATGGCTCGATACTGATGAATATCCATGATGTTATGTTGATCTTGGTGATTAGCAAACGAGTCCAGGAAGCGTGCTTCATCCTGTTTAGGATTTGTCAACTGGATGTACCTCCATCCCAGTGAGGTTCGAACCCAGCACCAATCACTTCAAACACTAAGCCACTGGGGCACGATAACTACCTGCTGTGAAACGGGTGTTAGTTGTTGTTATGATACCACTCATTTCCTGTTGCTTATACATCTGCCATCGAGCGATTCGGCTCTGTATAATAACAGGAGATCACAAGTATCGTTAAAACAACTGATATCCGTTGCACAAGAGTTGGCTATCGTGCCATACTAGATTAGTGAATAACACTCTGACCTTTGAAGTGATGGGTACTGGGTTCGAGCCTCACTGGGGTGCAGGTACATCCAGATGGTGAGTCCTAAATAGGACGAAACGCACGTTCTGAATTCCTGCGCTAGTCACTATGACCCATATAACATCAAGAGTGTAACTGAATGAAAACTGAAAGCTAATATCTCCACAAGAGCATGTTTTTAATGCACAAATCAGTTTCAAATATGTGTGCTACTCCGTAGGTGTCCCTCTAAAGGGATAGGCACTGTTCTACTGACACAGTTGAAATGATCAGCCTACATCGTGAATACTATTCACGCAATTTAGGAGAAGATTTCCGTAGTCGGTATGTGAGCATGTAGTAGTTCACAAACATCCTCGAAGCGCCTTTGCATTTAACTCAGCTTCCTTACTTGCCTCAGCGTCCACGTCACTCTCTTCTACGACTATGTCTGTACGTTTTGCCCTATCTAACAAAATTTATGCTTTTTATTGTATAAAGCACGAATGCGAAACTAGAGACGCAGAAAATAGGTATCGGCGAGAATTTTGATCCTATTCCGTTAAAACACATCCAGGTAAGATCGAGTGAATAAACACACACAGGTCATGTATATGTGTCAGAAACACAACATACATTCATCGCCCGACATCTCAGAGTTTCGATAAATGACGTCTGTCGACTGATTCGTCATGGAGTTCAGACATTAGAAGTTCTAATACGAAGTTGAGAGTTTGCTTTTAGGAGACTCAAAAAAAAACAGTCTTACACTGACTTAGATCACCCTTATGTCACTCAACGAGGAACAGATCAATTGCGACAAGACAGTCGCTGCTTTCAGTCTTACTGCTACCCAAGAAATCTTCCAGGTATACTACAAACTTAGGAAGAAAACCCTCCAGTCAGCACACTTCATTGAGTTATGATTAGTGTTTTGAATCACCACTTCAAATAGACAGGAACCAACCTAAAACCTGGCACATTGGCTCAATTTACCATACTTCACAGTAGTGAAGATAGAACAGAGATATCAAAGTAGACAAAGTTGTGAGAGAGAATAAAAAACCTTAAGATAAAAGTCAGTGTCAATATTTCAGCTTCAGAACACAACAACGAGTGAAAACATTTGCACCATTGTGACAGATTTCCAACCGCGTCAATAAAAGTTTTCAACCACTGATTCATATCATTCCAGTAACCCCAGCCGCGAAGTAGAATACACCTTTCTACGCTTCTCAAACCAGTAGTAAGAGATTTCGTCGACTGGAACCACGTCTTCCACAGATCCATACAAATCACCAGGCATTGTTGAGTAACCGTCCAACTTGCCACACATCATATCACTACATCAACCAACAAAACAGTGAAATGCAACATAAAGGGAAAAAAAATTCACTCGAAAGAAATAAAAGGTACTTAAAGAGGGAAACTCAGAGAGAGAGAGAGAGAGACAGAGAGAGAGAGAGAGAGAGAGAAAGGAAGGAAGAATGGAAAAAAGCGAGATTCAGTATAGCGTCGTTAAGATGAGGATTATGTGAGAGGGGATACATCTGCCCCACTGACATCGGTTCTCAACCACATCACCTAAAGTCAGTCTCCAACTACTCGTTCCTCTGGTCCCACCAACTCAAACCACTCAGTCTGCATCGTCCCACATGGCTCAAACCAACGGTCAAACACTTCATACATTAGTGCCATGTTTTAGTCTGGACACCTCACGCCTTTTTCCAACATCAACCTACTTCACTTCAGCCAACATTGTGTGACGAGGCAATCGGTGACTAGACATACATAACACATGTCTCAACCAACCATCTCAGTCCATCAAGGTTGACAATCACACCAACTGACTTATCTCTTCTCCCTCCCTAAAACTCTACACTTGACTTCTGCGTTACTCACGTGGTGACACCACTGAATACGGCCTCTACTATGAAGTCAATGGTGGTCAAACACATGAAGCCAGCCTTCTCATGTCTTCCACCTTCAATGGTCATGTTCCACAGTCATACACAGTAGGACAGAGTGGACTGATGTGCAGTACACGCCACCCTTAATAGACAATCGGACATGACAGCGGCACCACAGGTGTGGTCAGTTGGCAAAGGCGAGTGGGGTCTTTTGTATTCGTGTAGCGATTTCCTCGGCCACTGACCAACGACCAACACACCAGGGCTGACCACACTTCTCAGGTAAGTGTAGTGGTCAACATACTTGATCTTGGTCTGGTCACCATCAACTCTCTTCCAATCTAATCCCGACTTCTGCTAATATTGTGTGTCAAGGTAGGCGGTGGCTCGGCTAGGCATGTGTAATACATGTCCAAGTTATCTAAGTCAACTAAGGTTCACAATCGCATGAATCGACCTATCTGTCTTGCCTATTACCCTTTCCTTGACCTCAATACGGCTCATATGGAAATTCCACCAAACGCGAGCAATCCTACGAAGATATCTGTTAGCAAAACTGTGTAATCGCTTCGTCGTTTCTCTTTTCAACTGTTATATCTTACAGACGTATGACACAATAGGGCAGATTACAGCGCATTGTATTCATTCTTTAATAAGTAGTCGGATATCTCGGCCAATCGGTGTGACAGATGACACAAGTTGGTAAACGTCAAATGAGT